ACAGGTATCCTCATTACCAGAAAACTGAAATTGAGAAAATCATAAAGGAAATGCTCAATGAAGGTATAATCCAGCACAATAATAGCCCTTATAGTAGCCCTATCTTATTAGCTAAGAAGAAGGATGGGGGTTGGAGGTTCTGTGGTGACTATAGGGCTTTGAACAAGATTACTGTACCTGACAAATTCCCTATACCTGTCATTGAAGAACTGCTGGATGAGTTAGGTGGAGCTATGATTTTTTCCAAATTGGACTTGAAATCTGGTTATCACCAGATAAGAATGAAGGAGGAAGATAGGCAAAAGACTGCATTCAGAACTCATGATGGAATAAAGCAAAATGGCTCACTAAACTGTCTTCGCTTCTTTGTTATGAAGCAGCAGTCAGTCCATGCAATTTTGGACGGGATGTTCACTATGGGTAAGATTGCGTACATCCGACCTCTTTACCCCACCCTAGGTGGTAGCCTTTGCGGCACTGGGTAAATGAAAATGACTGTTTCCCTAAATCAATAAGATTCATTTTCTCCTCTCTCTAATAAGCTGGAATCTGAATCAACTTTTTCTGCCCCTTCATGATTATCTGATGGATATCTTGTGGTTTGAATAATATCATAGTTTGTCTCCAGTTCTTGAACTGAAAGTGTGGTCTGCTTCAACTCAGTGTTCCTTGTCAGCGTTGGAGTTACCAGCAATCTATTTCATGATCCACTTCCTGCTTCGATGATGCCTACTGCTCTGGAAACGGACTAGACTTGCGCATGGTGAGAAGCAGTCAGTGACCAAACCTGCGAACTCAGAAAATCTGCTAGCGTCGGATTCTGCGAACTTTGAGGAGATGTTCGCGACTCAGTTTGCCAGCCGGAGAACTCCGTCCGCGGTGAAGCTGATTGCGACTTCGAAGTTCGAACTTGAAGAAGTGGTTAGCGATGAAGCCCGCGAACGGTGAAAAGTTGCCTGCAAACTTAGAGAAGTTACTCGCTACGGAACCTGCGAACTTAGCCATTGAGACGAAATATGCTAACAAGCAGAAACGATTCGCGATGACGATCGGTGAGGGTACACAGTTTGCGACCTCCCTCTAGATTTTCGATGATCCTTGTTCGCCGCCAATTGTCGCAAATCAAGCAACTCAGCCATCATGCCTTCCATCGAACCCCGCATGTTGCGCAACTCATCCACCACCAATCGCACATCAGTTGTGTTCCGCTCCAGAGTTGCCACCCCTGATCGCACATCAGTTGTGTTCCGCTCCATGTGCTGATCGATGTTATCCAGTCGATTCTCCATTTGCGACTTGGTAAATCTCATTCACTGGCTACAGGACTGAACTGCTCTGATACCAATGATAGATACTCCAATTTCTGCAGATTACTTTTGTATATTAATCACTGGAATGCTGAGGAAATTATCAGATTCCTTCAGGAATTACAATTCAATCGTAAGAATTAGCACGGTATAGAAGAATGAGAATGAAGAACAAACTGAGACACTCCCAAAGCCCAGTCCCAACTAAATTTTTGGCTACCTCTTATTCTCTACTTAGCTTCTATTTATAATATTTTCCTTACGGGCTGGCCCATATCTAAATAATACCAAGCTTGGACCCCCTAAAACATAATCACAGCTATGTAACATTATTCTATTCTTCTTCTTATTATTATTCTCTTTAGCCCAATATCCTACCATACAACTACTCAATGTTCAGGCGAGACAGTTTTCAAGAAAAATTTTGCAAAACATCAGCCAAGGTGGCAAACTGGCAAATCCAGCAAAACTCTTACTCAGTACAGTTGCCAAAAGCATGGACTCCAGTGAAACTCGACAGCAACTCATAAAAATAAAAAGAAAAGAAAATGATTGCAGTAACTGAGAGTACTCTGTATGCTCTACGCTGTTTTGCACTTAACAGCAGATTGGTAACGTTGACTTTCCAAGGAGAGGAATACCATAAAAGTTGCAGAGAGAAAATGTTACAGAAAGATCAAACAGAGGAGACAGGCAGGCAGAGAGAAAATCCCAAAAGTGCAGGCAACTAGAGCGGTCTTGTGCTTCTTAGGTCATAATTTTTAACTCTGCCCGCAAATGATTCCATAAAAATCTCAAGTTTCTGAGAGATCATTGGTGAAGTTGAGCATTCTATAGATTCTGCTACGTTAATATAGGATAATATCCAGAAATAGTCCATAATTGATAGGGACCTACTTATTAGACTAATAATAGAAATAATAATAATAATATTAGTGGTAAGGGTCTGAGTATTCTAGTATAAATAGACCGGAAGGGGAAGTTAGTAAGGAGGCTGTTTAGACTTTGTCTTAGACTGGGAAGTTAGAGCTCTGTCTCTTTCTTTTGGAAGGCTTCGGCCATTTGTTACTATTACTATTCATCTTCTCTAATGAAGTTCAGTTTGATTTCTTGATCTCTTTCTGTAATTGTTCTGGATTCTTGGAGGTATTTATCATTGGTATCAGAGCCTTCGATCGCTGGTTGAGATAGACGCGCGCAAAATGGAAGGAAGAATTAATGACCTGGAAAGAAAACAAAAAGAAACATTGGCAACAATGGCGACTATGGCAACGACCTTGGCAGTCATAAAGACGGACATCGCAAGGCTGGAAAATAAAGTCCAGAGTCGCTCGCGGAACAGATCGCATGCGTCAAACGCATCACATCGTGAATCTCATCTTCATCACACGCGAAGGTCAGTGAGTCCAGAGGACTCAGAAGAGCCGGTGGCATTGCAGAAAATCTGGCAACCGAACGAGGAACAGTAAGCCTCATCCACGATCGCAGACGGATTTGCGAACTGTTTCTTCGCAAAGCTCTTCATATCACTCTTCGGGTTCTTCTCATCATTCTTATCATCGCTCTTCGCATCAGAGTTCACATAATTCCTCATCGGCCATCGATTCACATTCAAGAAAGACACGATTGAAAGGAGCATATTCTTCTCCACCAAAGGATTCTCACAGTTCGCTATCTTCTTCTAAAGCTGTTTCTTGGAATTCAGCTAGTTCAAAGACGGAGGAATTACCTCTATTCCACGAGGATGAAGCATACGAATGGATAGAGAAGATGGAAAGATATTTTCGAATCCAAGCTATTGCAGAAAAATTCAAAGTGAACGTTGCAGAAGAGGCTATGGGGGAAGCTGCGTGTGGCTGGTTTCAATGGTGGTGGGAATATCAAAAGAGAGAAGATAGTTGGAAGGCTCTAAAGGAAGACTTGATTAGGGATTTTCCACCTAAACACCGGCAGAAGACAGGGAGGACAGAAAAACAGGTATCATCAAGGTCACCAAGAACTTCTCGTAGTTCGCAAGTTTCTCACCCTAAACAAGATATTGCCCGGTCAATAAAGAAGACCCAGATGGAACTAACTGAACCTGTAATCAAACAAATGAATAAGAAAGAGGAAATCAAGGACGTATTTAAGGAGAAAAGACAGGTTATTCAATGGCCAGATTATGTTTCTCCTAATCTTGCAGACCAGAACACCGCAGACGATAAAGTTGTTCTTGTCAAAAGTCAGCAACCTCGACAACCAAAGGAAACAGTTTCAGAAAATCCATGCATTGGTAAAAAGAAATCTGGTCCAGAGGCTCAGGAGGATCATTTGGAATTGTTTACGGAAAACTCATGCCCAATGATTTCACATGGAGGTTCATTCACTGAGATGCATGTTGTGAGCGGAGGAAGGCTTGTTATTGATGATAAAGTGGCCGAAACAGCAGTGTACAATCAAAAATTGATTGCGGGGATGCAATCATCTACTATTTTTAAAGCAATTTTGAATCCAAAGGTTGGAGAGTGACTTTCTGCTCCTAATATTTCAAAGGATCATCAAGACTATTCTTCAGTTGTTGCCTTTGCTATTGTACACTTGGATGTAAAAGGTACAAGAAGCTGTGAATTACCTGCCAACTTAGGTGTGGACTTTTTGGCAGGGAAGCTCAGAATTACAGATTATATCACTGAGAAAGCAGCTGGAAGTTGTGTGGAACAAAATATGGTAGTCAAGGAAGAGGTAAAAGGGAAGCAAAACTTGAAAATGGCAAGGTCTCTTTCTTGTATAGGAATGGCTTGCCTGCAAGAATACCAATTTTCGAAATTTGACATGGTAGATAGGATATCCTATTCCATAATTGGGAAAACTGCTGATGATATAGGATATCTCTTTCCTTGCTTGTTAAAACTTTTTATGCCTTCCTTCTCAAATGAGATAGGCCAAGAATTGAAGGAGGAAGCAATTGAAAGGTACAACAAGAAGTTTTCATCCAACACAGTACTAGTTTCAGAAGATAGAAAGTTAGAAACTATGAGGAGCTGCAGAAACTTAAAGAATTCTTTTTTGCTATGGAATGCTGGAAGGAGACTGAACCGAATGAAACTTCACTACAGATTCCTTATGTTACTGAATGTTTTCTGACCTTAAAAGAGCTCATACTGAAGTCCCTAGTCCATCAACCAGTCAAGTATTGGGAAAGGAGAGGCGCAAGGATGAAGGAAAAGCAGAAGATCTTGGCTGTCTCCTACCGCCCACCTTGAGGGCAAGGTGGATGTTTAGGGAGGCAGTATTGATAGGGACTTACTTATTAGACTAATAATAGAAATAATAATAATAATAATATTAGCGGTAAGGGTCTGTTAGTATTCTAGTATAAATAGACAGGAATGGGAAGTTAGTAAGGAGGCTGCTTAGACTTTGTCTTAGACTGGGAAGTTAGAGCTCTGTCTCTTTCTTTTGGGGGGCTTCGGCCATTTGTTACTATTACTGTTCAACTTCTCTAATGAAATTTAGTTTGATTTCTTGATCTCTTTCTGTAATTGTTCTGGATTCTTGGAGGTATTTATCAATAATTCCATATGTAAAATTCAATGCATCGGTTTGTAGCTTTTTGTTGCTAGTTTTTTAGGTTTATATTACTTAAACATGTATCATAGTAGAAAAAAGCATGGAGAAAGTTTCAGATTCTTATTTGTAGTTTGCTCCTTGTAGCAACTAGGGACTCTTCAAACCTATTAGCTCATGAGGCTGCATTTGCATTGGGTCAGATGCAAGATGTTGATGCCATTCCGGCTCTGGCAGCAGTTTTGGGTGATCTATCTTTGCATCCCATTGTTCGGCATGAGGTATATGATATTTAAGTGTGAACTACTTGTGTTCTTGATTAGATGTTTCTCGGCTTCTCGAGCTCATTTATGTACCTATGCAAATTCCCCAGGCTGCAGAAGCACTGGGGGCAATTGGTTTAGACTGCAATGTTCCCATTCTACAGGAAAGCTTGACCTCAGATCCTGCTCAAGAGGTTCGAGAAACATGTGAACTGGCCCTAAGTCGAATCAAGGAGCTGAAGGATGTTAAAAGTAGTGATGATACTTCATCCCGATTTCTGTCAGTTGACCCTGCCACACCTGCTTCTTGTTCCTCTGTACCACAACTGAGGTTTGTCAACTTATCAATTGTAATGTTGTGGATATGTTCTTTGGTTTTATGTATAAAATTGTTTTATTCCTGTCCACAGGGAAGTTCTTTTATGTGAAGAAAAGGGTATGTATGAACGCTATGCTGCTCTTTTTGCACTTCGAAATAATGGCGGAGAGGAAGCTATCTCTGCCATTATTGAATCATTAGGTGCAACCAGTGCTCTACTCCGACACGAGGTTTGTAATCCATGGCTATTTCTGTGCTGAATTTTTTATTAATATTAATCGATAAGTAAAACTGATGCATTTTCTGTAGCAGCCGGTTTTCCCTTTCTTGATGTTTCCTATCTCTCTAAAGGTGTGTCAGTTTCATTGACTTGTTGAGCAGGTTGCATATGTTTTAGGTCAGTTACAAGACAAAAAGGCTGCAGATGCTTTATCTATGACACTAAGGAACACAAATGAGCACCCTATGGTTCGACACGAAGCAGCTGAGGCTCTTGGTTCTATAGCAGGTTTTGCCACTGTGTGCAAGATGTATTCTTTTGATTTTACTGTACTAAAGGAAGTATTATTAGTTTTCCTTTTTGTTCTTTTTGAAGGGGAACAATTATTACTCTGCATATTATTCAACTTGTTTTTTATGTTGTGTTGCTTTTGATAAATTGAAACGTTTTGTGAAATCCCTTTAAGCATATTATTTTATACCAAGTTTCTTTTGATGAAATAAAATTTGTTCTGTAATTATTTCTTTAAAATTGTAGTTTCTTTTCATGATCATTCTTTCCTATCCTCTGATGTAGTCCCACTTGTCTTGTAGATGATCATTCTATTGCTCTCCTTGAGGAATTTGTGAAGGATGGAGACTCCATTGTTGCCCAAAGTTGTGAAGTTGCTCTCAGCATGCTCGATTATGAGAGATCAGGAAGATCTTTTGAGGTAATAATCAAAACGGACTAAAATTTGGTTTTAGAGCAACAATATTGAAACCTGAAATATTTACATTTTTTGTGTACATTCATGTTTCATCCATTTATTGGGGTTGAATAATTACCTAACTTTTCAACACCCAATGAGTGATTACCACAGACGTATGTAGGCATAAAATTTAGTAATTTACAAAATTCACATGGCCATAATTATTGTTTGATTTATAGCTGTGCATATTGTTTGATTGACGATAACTGCATTCTTGTTTATTTCAGTTTCTCTTCACGAGGTGAGCAGAATTCATAGTTATACCATATTTACATAGCAACATCGGGCTTATGTTACTCGTAGCTTTGGACTGCTTCCTTGCAGTTTCGCATCCAAATTGACCATTGCACTGGCTATTTGCAATTTGCTAATTATTTGTAATTTTTTCATTTTAGTCCTCTGATAGTACGATACTTGCCTTCGACCTACTATCTTTGAAATATGTGAACAAGATAATTTTAATTACGTGATTGATGTTGAATTTGTAAAGCATGAATATCTTCGAATCATATAACATTACCAAATATGAGCCTATATGGCATGTGACAAATTTAGAGGAACACGTGAAAAAAGAAATACTCCATATGTGACAAGTAGTTATACATTCTTGCCATTTTTAAGCTATTCTGCCATTCACGGTTACCGTTTTTAACTTTGTATTATGAAGTCAGTGGTCATCAATTAACCCCATCAATTGACTTTTTTTCTCTCTGATAAATCTTGTCTGTATTAAGAGCCTGTTTGGATGAAAAAGTATATTTATGTACGGAGTAGTTGATATTGAATTGATAAAATAAGAATAATTTAACAATTATTTAGAATCGTATAAATTTTACCAAATTTAGAGGAACAATGAAAAAAGAAAAATGAGACTATAATCTTCCTTTTTTTTATCTATTCACGTTTACTGTTTTTTAATTTGTAATATAAAGTCGGTGGACATTAATTAACCCAACCCTCTATATGCCTTATTTATGAGCTACTAGTATTTACTTTTTTCAAATAAGTTTTGTCTGGATAAAGGAGTGTTTTGAATTAATTTTGCTTCTTTATATATATATATATATATATATATATATATATATATATATATATATATATATATATATAGGAAAATGTTCATGTAAGGTATCTAAAAGTTGTAATTTTAGGGGTCTTTCATTTGAATTTTGAGGTGCTTCTGATCAAATTTTTCGATCAAATTTTGTGACCATGTTCTTCATGAAGTTTAGATTACCTCCACCAAATTTCAGATTAATATTAAAACGAGAAGTCCATTAAATAAATTATTGAAAAATTTGCATTATATATATATATATATATATAACTGCATAATTTTCAATAATTTATTTATCTGATTTCTCGATTGATTTTTATAATAAAATTTGGTAGACATCATTTACCCTTCATTAAGAAGTGAGAACGTGCTCACAAAATTTATCAAAAAGATCGACTCTGGAAGCACCTCAAATAAAAGGGGCTTAAAATTAATAGTTTTAGGCCTACCTCAATTGAAAGGGGCCTATATACACACATGATTATTCCTGTCCGAAATTTCTTGATCGGACCCCGTTCGGCCTCCGCCGTTTGGGGTGATTCCCGATGGTATTTTTGTTGAATTTTTTTTGTATGTTCTTCATCAAGTCTAGTTTATCTATACCAAAATTCAGCTAAAAATTTAATCGGGAAGGCAGTCACATGATTTTTGGAAGATAACTGCGTTTTATATGTATATTTTGGCGCAATATCTTCCAAAAATCATTTGACTTCCTTTCCGATTGAATTTTTAGCTAAAATTTCGTGTGGATAAACTAGATTTGATGAAGAATATACACAATAAATTTCATAAAAAATACCATCGGGGAAGCTCCCCAAACGGCGGAGGCCGAACAGGTGTCCAATTAGGAAATTTCGGACAAGAAGATCTATATATATATATATATATATATATATATATATATATATATATATATATATATATATATATATATATAGGGTGCGGTTCCGATAAAAACCATCATTATCGTGCAAACTGCAAACCGTCACTTTTGACTCAATTTGATTCACTTTAAAGCTCGTCTCTTGCACTTTTTGAACTTTGGTTGAATCATGTCAAATAGAAAAAAACGGTGGCACTTATGTAAATAAGTCAAAGTTGTGTGCCATTGTGAAAAAGTGCAAAATAGAAACCTAATAGTGCATCACAATGGGGGAAAAGTGACCGGTTTTTTAGTTTTCACGGGAAGAAAGGTTTTTATTTGATCCGGAATATATATATATATATATATATATATATATATATATATATATATATATATATATATATATATGGCAATGTTCGTGTAAGGTAGGCCTATAAGTTATAACTTTTAAGCCTCTTTCATTTGAGGTACTTTCGGGTTGAATTTTTTGATGAAATTTTGTGAGAATGTTCTCCATGAAGTATAAATTATGTTCACCAAATTTCAAATTAAAATTCATTTGGGAAGTCCGTTAAACAAATTATTGAAAACACCTGCAGTTTTTATATATATAAAACGGCCCAATTTTCAAAAATTTATTTAATTGAGTTCCCGGTTAAATTTTAATCTGAAATTTAGTACTACGTATACATAATCTACACTTCATGGAACACATGCTCACAAAATTTCATCAAAAAATTCGATCCGGAAGCACCTCAAAGGAAAGAGGCCTAAAATTATAATTTTTAGGCCTACCTTACATGAACTTTTTCCTATATATATATAGGAAAATTAATCTCGTGCGTTCATTTTGAGATCTAATGGCTCAAAATGAGCCAAAAGTGAGAATTAATCTCGTGCGTTCATTTTGAAATCTAATGGCTCAAAATGAGCCAAAAGTGAACTAAATTTGATCAAAAACGCGGTGACAATTTCGTAATTAAAATGAAGTTTTTTGCCATCGCGAAAAAGTGCAATAGAAACACGCAAAAGTGCAACGCGATGAAGAAAAAGTGCAATTGTTCGCACTTTGCACGGGAGAACCTCTTTTTATTTGATCTCTTCCCTATATAGGGGAGGGTTTAAAAAAAAAAGTCTTAACGTGTAAAATGAGAATTAATTTGAGCCGTCCAAATTTACGATATGATGCACAATTGTCCTTGTCTAATGCACTGTGCATTATATATATATAATTAAAATCAAATCAATTTTTATATGTTGGTCACCCATAGCGTATAAAAAAATGCTTCTATGAGCAATTTGAAGCATCCATAATTTTTGCACTTTCATCTTAACACTCTAATATCTACTTTTAGGGGTGGACCTTGTTGGTGTCCCAGTATTGTGTGGGACCAGACTGGAACTGGGTCCAGTACTGTGCAAGGTCTGACCAAACCGGGTAAAGGCGATCCCGATTCTCGTTTTTGGGGACAGGACCGGGCGGTTCCGGTTCTGGACCGGTCACTTTTTCCCGCCTTGCATATTAAATAATAAATGGAATCTGATCGGATTCGGCTCGTAATTGGGCCGCTTGGAGAACCGGAATCGGCCAATCTTGAACTGGAACCGGGACCGGACCGAAACGGGCCAATGCCTACTACTTATGTTTCTCGAACGAGCAAAAGCAGTTTTAAGAAATGGATCGAAACACCCTCTAAAATGTGACAAATTTAGGGGTGTATATAAGGCATGCAACACATCTAGACGAACAAATGAAAAAATATGCGACAATTTTAGAGGAACAAATTAGACGAGAAAAATGTGACAAGTAGTTATATACTCCTGCCATTTTTTTTCATCTATTCACATTTACCATTTTTTAATTTGTATTATGAAGTCAGTTGACATTAATACGAGGTTTTTCATAAAATATGTTTACAAAAACTGTAATGGATAAAAAAGTGACTTAATAACTTTTAGTGACTCTATTATGTTCAAAGATTACGTCATAGTTACTAATTACATTATAGTAACTTTGAATACAAATATAGTCATTAAAATTGATCAAGTCACATTTTTGCACACCATTTTTCCAGGAGTAAATTTAGTGGAATTGCTTTCATCAATTAAGGTCTTTTTCCCTGGATATTACTAAATTAAATTAAAAAGACAGAAATATGATTTATTTCAAAATTTTCCAAAAAGTGACTTATTTAGTGACTAATTTCCGGTGATTCATCACTTACCAGTGATATGTCACTTTGAAATATACTATAACGACTCTTGTCCAGTTCTTCGTACACAATGACTAGTCATATCTTTGTCCAAAAACATAACTAATTATATTTTGTTTGTACAACTTTGTTAATAATACACATGTCTTTTTTCATTAATAAACCCCATCCCGGCCTCTATATGCCTTGTTTATTTTTCTTATTTTCAAAGCATTTTGCAAAAAAAAATTGTACAAACAAAAGTTCATGACAAAAAGCCATAATACATCAAGATTTTTGCCAAAACAACTGCTACAAAAGAAACAAAAACAAAAACAAAAAAGTGTAGTAAAACAAATAACTCCGACAAAAACAATACTACCACGAAATTTGCAAAAAGAAACTGCTAAAACAATATTTTTGAAAAGTGAAACTTTTCTGAGTAAAAGTGAGTTTCTTTTTGTTAACGATATTTTTAAAAGTGAAACTTTTCAGAGTTAAAGTGAGTTTATTTTTGTTATACAAAAGATAGTTTATGAGTACTTTTTAATTTAGAATCTTTTAGGTGTTCTGCATGTCGCACAATCAATAATCTAATACTTAATACTCATTGGTATTTGAGTTGTGTAGTAAAATGAATTTTACTACATAGTATCAAGAGTGGGCAAACGGGTACAAGAACCGTGGTCGGGCTGGGTAATATGGGTTTGAGGCGGTTTAGGGTCGGGTCCTAGTTTTGGAAAATCCAAACGGAACGGGGTGGGTCCCAAAAACTGACCTGTTTCAGAATATTTTTTTAGAAAGTCTATTATATTAAATATAATTGACCGGGCTAAACTTGCAAGTGTACAAGTGCCGATATAGTAATAAATTCCGGTAAAATACCGGGTCGAATCCACAAGGAAACGTTGTTTAATTCCAGTCCGAGAGTAGATAGCTTTAAATGAAGAAATGAGTAAAGTGCAAAGATTTTTATTTGTGTTTTATATTTTTGGTTTTTCACTTTTTGTTCAAGAAGATAATTGTTAACTAATTTTGAGTTTAAGAAGAATAGTAACAACAACTAAGGCTTCGGGAATCACTTAAATGCTTAAATAGGGTTGAATATTACTCCGTAGTTCTTTACCAATAATTATGAATACGATGTCACCAATATATTCTCAACTCCGGTTAAGACAGCGAGAACGTAGTTTTCGTTACTTGTAAGTCCCGTTACGGCTTACATTCATCTACCGGAAACCCCGTTGAATATCAAGACATCACACCCGTATCATATAAGACCGACTATATTTCTATTCTCGGTACTATACATGTTTATTCTTTAATGTTCATAGTTTAGAGTTCAACGTTAATTGCAAGTATAAACTAAATTTAACATACTTCTATGTTGTACACCATAGTCATAAACAATCAATGTATAAAGGATAAATCACAATTTATTGGTTTAGAACTTTTATCAACCACCCAGTGGGCATAGAAGTTCATCCCTAGTCTTAACTAAGAAATTAGCTACTAATGCTTATATTAATTACAAAAGTGTAACT